TAAAATTACATAAACCATAAATTATTATTTAATTATATAAAATAAAATGCCTGAAAAAGGATTACTTTGATAGAGTAAATCATGTATTTAAATAATACTTTTATTATATATTTTTAGAATTAAACTAAACCTTAAATTTCAAAAATTTAAATGCATTAACAATTAAATATAATCTTTTTATTTTATTAAAAATTAATTAATTAGAAAAATAAGCTAAAATTAAGCTTTTGGATTCATACTCCAATCATAGAATAAGATTCTTTTTTCTAATAAATTTAAATTTAACAAAAATTTCTTTTTTAATAATATTAATTTTTAGTACTTTATTAACAATTTCTTCTTCAAATTGAATTTCAATATGAATAGGATTAGAATTAAATTTATTTGCTATTATACCTATTTTAAATTTTAAATTAACAATTTATTCAATTGAATCTTCAATAAAATATTTTTTAATTCAAGCTTTTGCTTCAATTTTATTATTAATTTTTTTAATTAATAAATCTATATTTTTCTTAATCAATAGAAATTTTATAATTATTATTCCTTTATTAATAAAAATTAGTTTAATACCATTCCATATTTGATTACCATCAATAATTGAAGGATTAAATTGAATATCATGCTTTATTTTATTTACTTGACAAAAAATTAGACCAATAATTATTATTTCCTATTTAAATATAGATAAAAATTTAATATTTTTAATTTCAATAATTTTAATTAATTCAATATTAGGAATAAATCAAAATTCAATTCGAAAAATTTTAGCAATTTCATCAATTAATAATTCAACTTGAATATTATTTATAATATTATTTAATGAAAATTTATGAATAAACTATTTAATTATTTATTCAATTTTAAATTTTTTAATTATTAATATTTTAAAAAATTATAAAATCAATTATATTAATCAAATAAAATTTTTTAATATAAATTTTTTATTTAAAATCAATATATTAATATTAATTTTTTCAATTATAGGATTACCCCCTATATTAGGATTTTTAATAAAATGAATATTAATTAAAATTCTTATTTACAATAAAATATATTTAATTTTAATAATATTAATTTCTTTAACTATCTTAAACCTTTATTTTTATTTAAAATTAATCTATTTTTTATTATTCAATTTTAATCTATTTAACAAATGATATTTACAAAATAAAAAAAAAAATTATTTTAATTTAATTATATTTTTTAATTTTTTCAGATTATTTATTAATTTTATTATTTATTAAGGTTTTAAGTTAAATTAAACTATTAATTTTCAAAATTAAAAATATCTATAAATTTTAAACCTTAATTAATATTTAAAATTAATATCTTTAAATTTGCAATTTAATATCATAATTGAATATAAAGTTTATTTAATTTAAATTTGATAAAAAGATATTCCTATCTATATATAAATTTACAATTTACAACCTTAATCAGCCATTTTATCATTCATAAAATGAATTTTTTCAACTAATCATAAAAATATTGGAACTTTATATTTTATTTTTGGTATTTGATCTGGTATAATTGGATCTTCACTTAGAATTTTGATTCGTCTTGAATTAAGTCAAATTAATTCAATTATTAATAATAATCAATTATATAATGTTATTGTTACAATTCATGCCTTTATTATAATTTTTTTTATAACTATACCAATTGTTATTGGAGGATTTGGAAATTGACTAATTCCTTTAATAATGGGATCACCTGATATAGCATTTCCTCGATTAAATAATATTAGTTTTTGATTATTACCCCCATCATTAATAATAATAATTTGTAGTTTCATAATTAACAATGGAACAGGAACAGGGTGAACAATTTATCCCCCCTTATCAAATAATATCGCACATAATAATATTTCAGTAGATTTAACTATCTTCTCTCTTCATTTAGCAGGAATTTCATCAATTTTAGGAGCAATCAATTTTATTTGTACAATTATTAATATAATACCTAATAATTTAAAAATAAATCAAATCCCTTTATTTCCTTGATCAATTTTAATTACAGCTATATTATTAATTTTATCATTACCAGTTTTAGCTGGAGCAATTACTATATTATTAACAGATCGAAATTTAAATACTTCATTTTTTGATCCCTCAGGGGGAGGAGACCCAATTCTATATCAACATTTATTTTGATTTTTTGGTCATCCTGAAGTTTACATTCTAATTTTACCAGGATTTGGATTAATTTCTCATATTATTAGTCAAGAAAGTAATAAAAATGAAACTTTTGGAAACATTAGAATAATTTATGCTATATTAACAATTGGATTATTAGGTTTTATTGTTTGAGCACATCATATATTTACTATTGGTATAGATGTTGATACACGAGCTTATTTTACTTCAGCAACTATAATTATTGCTATTCCTACAGGTATTAAAATTTTTAGTTGATTAGCTACCATTTATGGATCAAAAATTAATTTTTCACCATCAACAATTTGATCTTTAGGATTTATTTTTCTTTTTACTATTGGAGGACTAACAGGAGTAATTTTAGCTAATTCATCAATTGATATTATTTTACATGATACTTATTATGTTGTAGCACATTTTCATTATGTTTTATCTATAGGAATTGTTTTTGCTATTATTGCTAGATTCATCCATTGATTTCCAATTTTCACAGGATTCACAATAAATAATTTTATTTTAAAAATTCAATTTATTTTAATATTTATTGGTGTAAATTTAACTTTTTTCCCTCAACATTTTTTAGGATTAAATGGTATACCTCGACGATATACTGATTATCCTAATAATTTTATTTTATGAAATATAATTTCTTCTATTGGATCAATAATTTCAACTTTTAGAATTATTATTTTAATCTATACAATTTGAAATAGATTATTTTTAAAAAAATTAAATATTTTTAAATTAAATTTAAATAACTCAATTGAATGAATTCATAATTTACCTCCTTTAGAACATTCTTATTCAGAATTACCAGTAATTATTAACTTCTATTATGGCAGAATAATTATGCATTGAATTTAAAATTCATATATAAAGAAAAATCTTTTTTTAGAAATCATAACTTGAATAAAAACAAATTTTCAAAATAGAAATTCACCCCTTATAGAACAATTAATCTTTTTTCATGACCATACTATATTCATTATTATTACAATTATTTTTTTAATTTCATATATAATAATATTTATTATCAATAATAAATTTATTAATATTAAAATTTCAGAAAATCAATTTATTGAATTTATTTGAACTATCATTCCTCCTATTATTTTAATTTTTATCGCTATACCTTCTCTTCATTTACTTTATCTTATAGATGAAATAAAAACTCCTATTATAACTATTAAAATTTTTGGACATCAATGATATTGATCATATGAATATTCAGATTTTATACAAATTGAATTTGATTCTTATATAATTAATAGCAACTATAAAGAAAATTTCCGTTTAATTGAAGTAGATAATAAAACTATTATTCCTTATAAATTTAATATTCGACTTTTAATTTCTTCTGAAGATGTAATTCATTCTTGAACTATTCCAAGTTTAGCTATTAAAATAGATGCAATTCCAGGACGAATAAATCAAATTAATTTATTTATAAATCGACCTGGAATATTTTTTGGACAATGTTCAGAAATTTGTGGTATTAACCACAGCTTTATACCAATTCAAATTGAATCAATTAATTTAAATAAATTTTCTAATTGAATTAAAAATTTTTAATTAATTTCATTAGATGACTGAAAAGCAAAAGTAATGATCTCTTAAATCAATTTATAGTAAATTAGCAATTACTTCTAATGAAAGAATTTAGTTAAATTTTTATAACATTAATTTGTCAAATTAAAATTATTTTTTTATATTTCTTAATCCCTCAAATAGCACCAATTTTTTGATTAATTTTATTTATATTTTTCTTTTTTATATTTTATATCTTAATAAATTTAATATTTTTTAATTTTAATAAAAATATAAAATTTATAATTAATAAAAAAAATTATTATAAAAATTATAATAAATTTATTTAATATTTTTGATCCATCAACATTAATTTTTAATTTAAATATTAACTGATTAAGAAGTTTAATAATTATTTCTATTATACCAAATTTTTTATGAATTTTACCAAATCGAATTAAAATTATTTTCAATAAAATTTTTAATATTTTAAATAATGAAATATTAATACTTCATAAGAAAAATAATTATAAATCACCATCATTTATATTTATCAGACTATTTATATTTATTTTTTTTAATAACTTTTTAAGTTTATTTCCTTATATCTTTTCATCCTCTAGACATATAATTTTTTCAATAACTTTAGCTCTTCCTTTTTGAATATTTTTTATCTTAATATCAAGTTTTAATAATACAAAAAACATAATTGCACATTTAATTCCAATAAATACTCCTTTATTATTAACACCATTAATAACTATTATTGAAACAATAAGAATTTTTATTCGACCTATTTCTTTATCAATTCGATTAACAGCTAATTTAATTGCTGGTCATTTATTAATAACATTATTAAATTTTAATTCAATTTTAATTATTATTTTAATAATTCAAATATTTATATTAATATTTGAGTTATGTGTAGCTTTTATTCAAAGTTATGTTTTCTCAATTCTTTCTTCTTTATACTCTAGAGAATAAAATTTTATAATAAATGATAAAAATTAATCAACCATATTATATTTTAAATTTAAGACCTTGGCCAATTCTTATATCTATTAATTCATTTAATTTGATAATCTCAAATATTATAATATTTAACTTTAAATTAAACATTTTATTATTTTTAAATTTAATTTTAATTATTTCTATTTCAATTCTATGATGACGAGATATTATTCGAGAAAGAACTTTTCAAGGAAATCATAATTTCTATATTATAAACTTAATTAAATTAAGAATAATTATATTTATTATCTCAGAATTATTTTTATTTATTTCATTTTTTTGAAACTTTTTACATAATTCTTTATCTCCCTCAATTGAATTAGGTTTAAATTGACCTCCTAAAAATATTTTATTTTTTAACCCCCTTTTAATTCCCCTTTTAAATACTATTATTCTTTTAACTTCTAGATTTACAATTACATTAACACATTTTTATTTATTAAATAATAAAAAAAATAAAACATTAATTTTTTTAAACTTAACTATTATTTTAAGATTCTATTTTTTAATTCTTCAATTTATTGAATATAAACAAGCTATATTTACATTTTCTGATTCAATTTTTGGATCTTCATTTTATATAGCTACAGGATTTCATGGACTACATGTAATTATTGGAACTATTTTTTTATTATTAAATTTAATCCGAATAATTAAAAATCATTTTTCTTTTATTCATCATATTAGATTTGAATTAAGAGCTTGATATTGACATTTTATTGATATTATTTGATTATTTTTATATATAACTTTTTATTGATGAAATAACTAAATTTTATTAATATAAAAAGTATAATTGATTTCCAATCAAAAAGTTTAATTCATTTTAAATAAAATAATTTTCATAATTTTAATATCAATATTTCTAATATTATTAATTATTATAATATTTTTTTTAATTTTAATATTAATTAATATAAAAATAAAATTTAATTTTAATAAATCAGCACCATTTGAATGTGGATTTGATCCATTTAATAAATCACGTATTTCTTTATCATTAAATTTTTATTTAATTACAATTATCTTTTTAATTTTTGATATTGAAATTTCCATTATTATACCAATAATTATAAATTTTAAAATTTCTAATATAATTAATTTTAATATTTTATTCACAACATTTTTCATTTTTATAATTTTAACAATTTTTTATGAATGAAAATTCGGATCATTAAATTGAAAAATTTAGGATAATAGTTAAACAATATAACATTTAATTTGCTTTTAAAAATTATTTATAAAATTTATCTTTAATAAGAAGTAAATTTTTACATATTAATTTCGACTTAATAATAGATTAATCTAAATCCTTATTTTAATTGAAACCAAAAAGAGGTTTATTACTGTTAATAATAATATTGAAAAAAATTCCAATTAAAAAGATTTTAAAATAAAAGAAGCTGCTAACTATCTTTTAAAGCATAAATTGTTTAATCTTTTTAAATATTTATTAGTTTAATTAAAACATTATATTTTCAATATAAAAATATTATTTTTTTTATAAATAAATAATATCTAAAATTTATTTTAATAGTTTAAAAAAAAACATTGATATTGTAAATCAAAATTATTATAATAAATTTAAAATAAAAATGATAATTAAATTAATTATATCATTAAATTTATTATTATCTTTTATATTAATTACATCTAAATCTCCTATTAAATCTAATTTAATTATTTTACTACAAACTATTATAATCACTATATTAACTAATCTAATTAATAAAACATCATGAATTTCATTTATAATTTTTATTCTTTATATTAGAGGATTAATAATTATTTTTCTTTATATTTCAAGAATTGCATTTAATGAAATAAATAAAAAAAATTCTATAAAACTATTAACTAAAATTATAATAATTTTTTTTATTATTAATTTTAAAAACAATATCTTAATTTTAGAAAATTTTAATTTTAATTATAAATTTTTATTTGAAGATAATAAATATCTATTAAATATATTTTTTTTACCAAATAACTTAATTTTATATTTTATTATAATAATTTTATTTTTTATATTAATTTTAATCATTTGAATTTTAAAAAATAATAAGGGTCCTTTACGACAAAAATTTTAATGAAAAAAAAAATAATTAAAATTTTATACCCAATTTTAAATCTTCCAACCCCAATTAATATTAGTTTTATATGAAATTTTGGATCACTTTTAATAATTTGCTTAATAAATCAAATTTTAACAGGATTATTTTTAGCATTTCACTTTAAAACAGATATTAATTTAGCTTTTCAAAGAATTATTAATATTAATCGAAACATTAATTTTGGATGATTAATTCGATCTCTTCATGCTAATGGAGCATCAATATTTTTTATTATAATATATATACATATTAGACGAGGAATTTATATAAATTCTTTTAACTTTAAAATAACATGATTAATTGGAGTTATATTATTATTACTAACTATAATAACTGCATTTGTTGGATATGTATTACCATGAGGACAAATATCATTTTGAGGAGCTACAGTAATTACAAATTTATTGTCAGCTATCCCATATCTAGGTAATTCAATTGTTATTTGAATCTGAGGAGGATTCTCTATTAATAATGCAACTTTAACACGATTTTTTTCAATTCATTTTATTTTACCATTTATTATTTTATTATTTATCATTATTCACTTAATATTTCTTCATTTAACTGGATCTAATAATCCTTTAGGAATTAATAGAAATTTTGATAAAATTTCATTTTCACCTTATTTTATTATTAAAGATCTAATTGGATTAATCATTTTTATATGAATATTCATTTTATTAACATTAATTTTTCCATTTTTATTAAATGATCATAATAATTTTATTATAGCTAATCCTATAATTACACCTAATCATATTCAACCAGAATGATACTTTCTATTTTCTTACACAATTCTACGAGCAATTCCCAATAAATTAGGAGGAGTAATTGCCTTAATAATATCAATCTTAATTTTAATAATTTTACCTATTCTTAATAAAAAAAAATTTCTTAGTAATAAATTTTATCCTATTAATAAAATTTTATTTTGAATATTTATTAAAACATTTTTTATTCTAACTTGAATTGGTATAAATCCTGTAGAATTTCCATTTATTATTATAGGACAAATTTTTACTATAATTTACTTTTCATATTTTTTCATTAATTTTTATATTATAAAAATTTGAGATATGATATTAATTAAATTTTAAATAAATTTTTAATAGTTAATTAATTTAAATAAAAATATTTATTTTGAAAATAAAATTTAGATTATAATTCTATTAACTTTTACTAAATTTAATGAATTTAAAATAATTAAATTTTATTTTTTTATTTAACTCAAATTATCCACAAAATTTTTACCCCCAATTTTTTGTTAATTAGAGATTTATCAATAACCTTTAAAATTTAAACTTTTTTTACAAAAAAAAAATTATTTTTTCAAAATATTTTTTAAAAAAAAAAAAAAAATGTTAATAAACGTAATGAAAATTAAATTATTTTTAAAGTGAAAGGTAACTACCTTTGAAAAATTTTATTTTTTTATTTAACTCAAATTATCCACAAAATTTTTACCCCCAATTTTTTGTTAATTAGAGATTTATCAATAACCTTTAAAATTTAAACTATGTTAATAAAAAAAAAAAAAAAAATGTTAATAAACGTAATGAAAATTAAATTATTTATTAAATAATCAATATAAAAAAAAAAAATGTTAATAAACGTAATGAAAATTAAATTATTTATTAAATAATCAATATAAATTAAAAAAATGTTAATAAACGTAATGAAAATTAAATTAATGTTAATAAACGTAATGAAAATTAAATTATTTATTAAATAATCAATATAAATTAATTAATAATTAATAAACGTAATGAAAATTAAATTATTTATTAAATAATCAATATAAATTAATTAATAAATTAAATAATCAATATAAATTAATTAATAAATTTTTAATTTTATTATTTAAAAATAATTTTATATCACCTTTATATCTTCAATATAATACTCTATCTTTAAGCTATTTAAATATTATTAATAATTAAATCAAAAAATAATTAAAAATCATAAAAAAAATAATAATATATAAATTTTATATCTATTAAAAAAAATCTTTTGATTAAAATTTATTAATATTTTAAAAAAATAAATAATCCCCCTATTAAAAATATATTCTATTCAACCAATCTCAATAATTAAATAACTTAAAGAACCTAAATAAAGAAATTTATTTAAAAAAAAATTTAACTTAAAAAACAATAAATTTCATATTAAACTAAAAAAAAAAAGATAAAAAAAAGAAAAAAAATACTTTATTCTAAATAAAAAATTTCTTAATTCAAAAAAAAATCAAATTCTAATTAACAAAATTAATATTCTTAAAATTTTAAAATTTAATTCTAATAAAATTAATTCAAATTTATAAAATATTAATCATATAAAAAATGACCCAAAAAATATTATAATTAATCTAATAAATAATATTCTTAAAATTAAAAAATTTCTCTCAAACTTAATAATTATTAAATAATTTATTATAGAAAAATTATTTAATAATAAATAATAAATAACTCGAACAGAATATATAAAAGTCAATAAAAAAGAAAATATAAAAAAAAAAAAAAAAAAAAAATTTAAATCTATTATTAAAAAATATTCAAAAATTAAATCTTTAGAATAAAATCTACAAAAAAAAGGAAAACCACATAATGATATTAAAGTAAATATAAAAATTAATCTACAAAAAGGTATAAAATTAATTAAACCACCTATTTTACGAATATCTTGATTATTATTTATATTTAAAATTAAAATACCAGATCTCAAAAATATTATAGATTTAAATAAAGCATGTATTAATAAATAAAAAAAACACATTTCAATTTTTCCTATTGATAAAATTAAAAATATAAATCTAATCTGACTTAATGTAGAAAAAGCAATAATTTTTTTTAAATCAAATTCAAAAATTGCATTTAAACCAGATATAAATATTGTTATACAAGAAATAATTAATAAAAAATTATAAAATTGAAAATTTATAAAAACTTCATTAAAACGAATTATTAAATAAACTCCAGCTGTAACTAAAGTAGATGAATGAACTAATGAAGATACAGGAGTAGGAGCAGCTATAGCTAAAGGTAATCATGAAGAAAAAGGAATTTGAGCTCTTTTAGTTAAACTAGCTAATATAATTATAAAAGTAATATAATATAAATAATTAATATTATTAAAATAATTTAAAAAAATATAATTTCAAGAACCAAAATTTATTATTCAAATTAATCTTATAATAATAAATAAATCCCCTAAACGATTTAAAATAACTGTTAATAAACCAGAACTAAAAGATTTTTTATTTTGATAAAAAACAATTAAACAAAAAGAAATCATTCCTAATCCATCTCAACCTAATAAAATTCTAATTATATTAGGTCTAATAATTAAAAAAAATATAAATATAATAAAAAAATTTATTAATATTAAAAATCGAAATTTATTTAAATCAAAATTTATATACTCTATTCTATATAATAAAATTATTGAAGAAATTAAAAAAACAAAAGAAATAAATATTAAAGATATTCAATCAATTAAAATTACATAAACTAATAAACATGAATTTAAAAAAAAATATATATATTCAATAAAATATAATTTATCAAAATAAATAAAAAATAATCCTAAAATAAAAAAAAAAATAAATAAAATAAAATAAAAAAAAAAAAAAAAAAAAAAAAAATTTAATTTAATTATTTAAATATTTTTATAATCTTTAATTCCACAAATTAATATTTTAATTAAACTATTTAAATAAATAAATAATTCTAAAATTAAAAAAATTAAATTTAAAGGAAATCAATGTAAAAATAAAATTATATACTCACCTAAATTAATATAAATTATATAATTTATATTAAAAAATAATTTTCCATATTGAGTATATAAATATAAATATAATCTATATAAAAATATTATAATTATTACTAATAAATAAAAAATATATAAATAGTCTAATCAAATTATTAATCTAATTAATAAAAATAATTCACCAAATAAATTTAATGAAGGAGGAAATGATATATTAGAAGAACATAATAAAAATCATCAAAAAGATAAATAAGGAAAAATATTAATTAAACCTTTATTTAAAAAAAGTCTTCGACTTTTAAAACGTAAATAACAAATATTACTTAAACAAAATAAACCAGAAGAACATAAACCATGTCCAAATATTAAAATTAAAGAACCAGAACCTCCTCATATATTTAAAGTTAATAAACCAATAATAACTAATCCTATATGAATAATAGAAGAATAAGCAATTAAAATTTTTAAATCTCTCTGAAAAAAACAAAACACTCTTAATAATAATATTCCTAATAAACATAATGAAATAAAATAAAAATTTAATTTAATATTAACTTTAAAAATTAATATTAAAATATGAGAAATTCCAAAACCACCTAATTTTAATATAATTCCAGCTAAAATTATAGAACCAGAAATAGGAGCTTCAACATGAGCTTTAGGTAGTCAAATATGAAATATAAATAAAGGTATCTTTACTAAAAAAATTATTAATAAAAAAAAATAATAATAAATATTTTCAATACTTAAATAATCTATATAATATATATAAATAAATATAAATCTATTTAAATTTAAAATACAAGAAAAAAAAGGTAAAGAAAAAAAAATTATATATATAAATAAATAAAAACCAGCCTTAAAACGCTCATATTGATAACCTCATCCATAAATTAAAATAATTACAGGAATTAAATTAATTTCATAAAAAATATAAAATAAAATAAAATTATTACTAAAAAAACAAAAATAAAAAATTAAAATAAATGTAAATATTAAAAAATTAAAATATTTATAAAAAAAATTATTTAAATTTACTCTAGAAAGATAAACTAATCTAATTACTCAAATTCCTAATATAAATATTAAATAAGAAAATATATTTATTCCAAATAAATATCTTAAATTTAAAAAATAATTAAATATAGGAATCTTAAAATATATAAAAAAAAAAAGAAAAAAAAAAAAATTTTGTACTAATCACCATCTTTTAATTTTAAAACTTAAAAAAATCATACTAAATAAAATTAATATAAAAATTATTAACACTGTAAAATTATTAAAGATTTTAAATAATCATTTCCATAAAATCGAACTATTATAATTAAAATTGTTAATCCTAAAACTCTCTCACTAATACAAAAAATAAAAAAAATTAATAATAATAAATATTGTTTAATATACATTATTAATCTTAAATAAAATAATAAAGATAAAATTAATAATATATATTCAAGACCTAAAAGTATTATTAATAAATGATTAAAATTAAAAATATAAAATAAAATACCAAAAAATAATATAATAAACAAAATTAATATAAATATATTTACCATTTAATAAATTTTTCATCAATATAAATATAATTATATTATCTTTAATCTCCAAAATTAATATTTTATTTAAAATATATAATGAATATTAAATAAATTTAAACACTAAAATTAATGGTATAAATTAAATAATTTTATTGAATAATTAAATATAAATATAAATAATGAAATAGGTAAAATTAATTTTCAAATTAAATATATTAATTTATCATAACGAAAACGAGGTAAAACTCCTCGTAATCAAATAACTAAAAATATAAAAAATAAAACATAAATATTTAAATAAAATTTATTTAATATTAATCCAAAAAATATTTCACAAAATAATAAACCTATAAATATAATTCTTATATATTCTGATATAAAAATAAAAATAAAAGATAAACTTCTAAATTCAATGTTAAAACCTGAAACTAATTCAGATTCCCCTTCAGAAAAATCAAAAGGAGTACGATTTATTTCAGCTAAAAATCTAATTAATAATATTAAAAATATTAAAAAAAGAAAAAAAAAAAATTTAATATTAATTTGATAAACATAAAAATCTCTTAATCTAAATCTATTAATTATAAACATTAAATTTATAATAATAATTATTAATCTTACTTCATAAGAAATTATTTGAGAAATAAAACGAATTATACCTAAAACAGAATAATTAGAATTTGAAGATCATCTTATTATTAAAAAAATATAAACTATTAATCTTGAACAACAAAATAAATAAATTAAACCTAAACTTATAATAAAATTTATACCTAAAAAAGGATAAATAAATCAAAAAAAAATAGAAATTAATAAACTTAATATAGGAGAAAATATAAAAACTAAATAATTTATATTATTTAAATAATTTATTTCTTTAAAAAATAATTTTAATCCATCTGATATAGGTTGAAAAACTCCTTTTAAAAAAAATTTATTAGGGCCTTTCCGTAATTGAATATAACCTAATACTTTTCGTTCCAATAAAGTAAAAAAAGCAACTCTTATAAAAACTATTAAAAATAAAAAAAAAAAATTAATAAATAAAATTATTATATAAATTACTATTTATAATTAAAATTATATAACTAAATTCTAAATTTAACACATTTATCTGCCAAAATAGTTTAATAATAATTAATTTTATTCATAAATTAAAAATTTAATTTATTTATTTAATCCTTTCGTACTAAAATAAATTAATTTTTAAAAGATAGAAACCAACCTGGCTTACACCGGTTTGAACTCAAATCATGTAAGAATTTAAAGGTCGAACAGACCTAAAACTTAAAATTTTGCACCTAAGATTTATCTTAATTCAACATCGAGGTCGCAAACTAATTTTTAAATTTGAACTTAAAAAATTAATTACGCTGTTATCCCTAAAGTAACTTTTTCCTTCAATTAAAAATTTTAATTCAATTAATCATTAATTAATGTTAAATTTTAAAAAAAGTCTAATAATTTTTTTTATCACCCCAATAAAATAATTAATAAAATTTATTTTTTTAAACAATTTATAAACTAAAAAAATAAAATTATTATCAATTATAAAGTTTTATAGGGTCTTATCGTCCCTTTAAATAATTT